AATTGATATAATATAAATATAAAGCAATATAATATTGTTGTCGTATTGTTATAATGTCTCTGCAGCTATGTAACTCTATTGCTGTTGTATATGAAAACGAGAATGTGTGTTTAACTCAGTGGAATCAGTGTCCTCAAGTGAAAGTCAGATTACTGTTAAGATAATTTATAAATGAGGGTTTTTATTTAAGTAAAAAATGTTTGAAAGAATTTTCATCAAAAATATATATATCAGAGAATACAGAGAAGTTTATGAAAAGCTTGTAGCTGTGAGAGATAAGTCAAGGGCATGGAAGAACAGAGTTGTACTAGGCTGGGTTCTGTACAAGGACTCATCTTTTAAAAGTTTTTTATTTTTAATTTTTGTGGGTACATAGTAGGTATATATGTATTTATGGGGTACATGAGGTGTTTTGATAACAGCATGATGTGATCATTACACAATGGCTCATCTTTTTTTTAACAGGGACAGGACAGGGAGGAAAAATATTATGGAATTTACTATGACCCTATTTTCATGTGTAACTTTTTTAAAAAATTACACTAACATAGAAAGAGGTAGTATATGATATTGCAAACATTGTTATAGAATATTTCCTGTTATATCAATAACTTAAGAACCATGAAAAGTATTCCATGCTTTTAGCTTCCTTGTAGATTATTTTTAAGGTATTCTTTTCTCTTTAAATGGAAGAAGCGAATATCTGAAAAAGATCCCCAAGGAACCCCTAACTAGTCTATTTGTATTCAGTCTAAAACTTTGTGATTAGGAAGTTCAGAACCAACATTCTTTTATAACAATATTAATTAACTTCTTTTGACCCATATCCCCAAGAGCTGTTCTCATCTTAATCTCTAAGGCAAATAAGCCCATGAAAAAAACATAATTCATCCACTTACTTAAAAGAAAAACTGACAGAAGAAAGAAAACTTTATTGAGAAATGGCAAGAAGCAAACAAAAAAATTCAAGTCACCTTTAATTTGGTGAAACATTTATAACATTCAAGATTACTTAGTAAAAGCTTCAATGGAAGGATAGTTCAATAATCATGAAGGTAAAAATGAAATACCAAAAACTTTACTGAGTTCCCTTCACTGAGCTGTCACTTGGTAAGTATGCTTAACGGGTCCACTTAGCCACATCTAAATGAGTTGCTTGTATGAATTTCTATATTCAAAAAACTCAGTTACCAAATAACTAAAATAATTAAGAATTAAGCAAAGAGACAAAATATAGTCTTCCTGCATGGGGAAAAATACCTGAGAACTGAGACTTAATAGTTTTTGATTGCTGGATTGATTAATTTTAGAGACAAGTTCTCGCTCTGTTGCCCACACTGGAGTGCAATGGCATGGTCATAGCTCACTGTAACCTGGAACTGCTGGGCTCAAGCAATCCTGCCACCTTTGTCTCCAGAGTAACTAGGACTACAGATGCTCATCACCATACCTGGCTAGTTTTTTGAAAATATTTGTAAAGATGGGGTCTTGCTATGCTGCCCAGGCTGATATCAAACTCCTGGTCTCAAGCAGTCCTCCCGCTTCAGCCTCCCATAAATGGAAGTTGGGGAAGATCTACTCTATAAGTTTTTAAGGCCACTTGCCACTCTACAATTTGTGTTGTGCTGAATTCACTGAGAGGTGGGGCAAGGAGGATACCTAGAACCTAAAGGTGTTTGAAGGGCTGTCGTGGTGAAAAGATTAATATTTTATCTATAAAATCAGTACATGAACATGTATTTGGAAGTTTAAAAAAAAAACAGAGTTTTCCACTCAAGGTAAGCAGTTTTCATCCAGCCAGTGCTAAAGTAAGATAATAATTTACTAATCACTGAAGTCATCCAAGCAATGGCTGGATGAATATGCAGTGAGACGGCTAAACAGAAGTCAGTGACCTAGTAAGGGTTATTTCATCTTTGACAGATATTTCTGAGTTAGAAATAGTTAGCAATAAATAATAATAAATACAAAGTACAAAAGTACAATGCTATAAATTCACACACTTATAGATAATAAAGTTTGAGCCTTTCTATGTCTGCACATATAAAACAAGAAAATTTTACATTATATAATTGATGCAATATAAGTATACTTTTTTGCATATGTTTTATTTACTAATATACTATCACTTTTGTTAAATTTACTTCTCTGTGTATAGTCTCTCTGATCTTTCAATATTTTTAATGAATGGAGTCATAAGCCAACCTGAAATGATTCAAGTTAAGTATGCATTAAAAATTAATCTTTTTGCAACTTACTGTTATTAATTTAGATAAGAAACAATTAGCGTTAGTTGTTCATCTCCTTTCTTAACCAATGTTTTAGCAAAAATCTATTAGGTATTGTCACATATATGACTTCATTTCAACCTCATGGAAGGTCATTTCGAACATTATAATTATCTTTATTTCTTAGAAGTAAAGAATTTAATTTGATTAAAAAGAGCTGTAAGTGGTAAAAACTAGGATTGGAATCCATTTCTTTGAACTATCTCACATTAATCTAATTAATACCTGACTCTTCAAATGTAAAATATACTTAAAGTAAAATTTAAAAATAGGAAAAAGATAGTGCTTATCTCATATAATTATAATGAAAATTAAAAGAGTAAACTGCTTTCAACCATGTCTGGCAACTACCAAAAACTCAATAAATATGTATCTATTATTACTGAAAACAAAAAAAAATGTAAACTATAACTTGCCTATGAACAACCTCATGGAAATAATAATACAAGTCACGCAAATAACAGATAACAATATGCCTTGCACAGAAAGTTAATTTCCCATGCTATTATATTAGTATATGTATTTGTGATTAGCCACTTCCATGCAGTAACTCAGCAAATCATTTAGCAATTTATTTACTAGAGAGTAAAAGAAGTTATACTCTTTGAGGTGGGTCAGGGAGTCAAAAAGTACTGATAGCAGGACTCTGAGACTTTAATGGACATTTTAAATGTGTAGCCCAGCATTCTAAGATGAGAAAACTGAAATTTAGAGCATAAAAGATTTTTTTTAAAAAGCACAGTATTTTTTTTAAAAAGCACAGATTTATTAAGGAGGTTCTAAGTGCTATTGAGGCATCAGCTCTCTGAGACCAGCTATGATATAGAACAATTCCCTCAAACTAAGTACCCATGAGAGATATCTGTAAGTGATTTCAATATTATCAACTGCTCTAGTAAAGTAAAATCTAATATTACAAGAACAAATCTTTCTTGGGTTTTTGCACTGAGTAACAAATAGTGAGGGCAAACATTCTATTGGAAAAGAAGATTCTCAGAAATTAGTAAGACAAGTGCACAAAAAATTTATGTGGAAGAATATTTATTTGATCACTATTTATACAAACAAAAATGTAAACCACCTAAATTGTCAGCACTAAGCAACTTGCTGAATATATCACAGTCTCACTGATAGAATCAAACGCTATACAATTCTCAAAAATGATAGTGAAGATTTCCAGGAATTGACATGGAAAAATAATAAAATGTTTCTAAAAAATGAAAAAAGAAAGAAAAGAGAAAGAAAGGAAAAGAAAAAAAAGCTGATTACAAAATAGTCTGTTGGTATAATTTATTTTAGATACTCAGGTATTTAAACTTTAAAATAGCCTAAAATTATGTAAACCAATATGCAACTGTATCTCTAAGAAGTTTGATTAAAAATAGTTTTCTTTTTTGAACTTGCATTTTTGAATTCTTTGCACTAACAATATCTTTCTTGAAATAATAAAAAGAAAAAATAAAATAAGAGGGCAAACTTTATCTTGGAGGAAGTTTTAGGGGGAGGTTGGGAAAAGAAAAGGAGGTGGCCACGATCAGTAGCAAAGAGTAGAGGAGATGCTAACTTATCTATTAAGGAGGTTCTAAGTGATATCTAGATAAATAAAGCATCAAGGTTAGAGTTAAAGCATACGTAAGTTTTAACCTAAAATGGGGAGGTCTCTGCAGAAGAATGATTTCTCACATAGTGGGATAAAGAACAAACTAGATGATCTTGAAGTACAGTTTTAGGATGTCAGCTGACAAAGTAAATTAAGTGAGCTTATTTACCTCTATTTTGCTTTCCTGTGTATAATTTGTACCTCTCTGATGTTATCACACTCTATATGGTGCTCTCAAATGACCAGCCAGATATATGATATATATTAGATACTTCATAGAACTTGTAGGAGGTGGGTTTTAGACACAAGGCACAATCTAAGGGCAAGACACTCATTCTTTTTGAAGTATCATCTAAAATGATTAATAAGAACCATGAGCTGCTGTTCCTTTTAAACATCTCTGGACTGTTTTCATAGGTCTATACATGCTAGGGAAAGACTTTAAGAATTGGGAGACTCCGGATATCTACATATGTAGAAAAAAGTAAATCAACTTTTATCTCTTACTCATGACAATCATCAAAGTGAAAGAAAGTTTGTTATAGAAAAGACTATAAAGTTTTTAAAGGATTTGCCACTCAGGAGCTGTAAACCAGAATAATAGAAGAGCATTCTGCTTAAGTATACATCAGTATGTTAGCACATTTTTTAGCTGAAAAAATCAAGTCAAAGGAGAGAAAAGACTAGAAATTTCATCTGATGAAAAAACTAGAAATTTCATCTCATTCAGATTGAGGAATGAGAAGGTAAAGGAAGTGCTGAGAGAGACAGTGAACAGAATCATGACCTTGATACTAAGGAAAACTTGACACTACTATATACTATATATATCACATTGTATTATTTATTTTGATAAGTTCCAAGAAAAAAAAGAAATTTTATAACTAGAAGGAACCTTAGAGTTTTTTGTCCAGCCTTATCACATTATTTTACAGAAAAAACAAACAAACAAACAAAAAAGTGTACCTGAATAGTATCTTGACTGTCCCAATAACTTTCAGATAGTCCTACATGCCAGGACTCATCTCCCAACATAAGACGTTCTCCACAATTCATCTTCCACAGATATTTACAAAATTACCTAAGCTGATTTTTTTTTTTCATTTCTTCAGGGAAACCCTGCCTACCATGTAGTGGTCAACATGGGAAACTGGAGCATTGTGACTGAATTCACACTAAGTGCCTTCCCAGCTCTCCTGGACATTCGAATATCTCTCTTCATGGTTCTTGTGTTAACTTACACGTTAACAACAACAGGAAACATCATCATCATCTCCCTGATACGAATTGATCATCGTCTGCAAACTCCAATGTACTTTTTCCTCAGTAATTTGTCCTTTCTGGATATCTTATATACCACTGTCATTACCCCAAAGTTGTTAGCCTGCCTCCTAGGAGAAAAGAAAACCATATCTTTTGCTGGTTGTATGACCCAGACATATTTCTACTTCTTTCTGGGGACAGTGGAGTTTATCCTCTTGGCGGTGATGTCCTTTGACCGCTATGTGGCTATCTGTGACCCACTGCACTACACCATCATCATGAACAGCAGGACCTGCTTCCTGCTGGTTCTGGGATGCTGGGTGGGAGCCTTCCTGTTTGTGTTGGTTCCAACCATTGTTGTGACACGGCTACCTTACTGTAGGAAAGAAATTAATCATTTTTTCTGTGACATTGCCCCTCTTCTACAGGTGGCTTGTATAAACACTCACCTCATTGAGAAGATAAACTTTCTCCTCTCTGCCCTTGTCATCCTGAGCTCCCTGGGATTCACCACTGGCTCCTATGTGTGCATAATTTCCACCATTCTGAGTATCCCCTCCACCCAGGGCCGTCAGAAAGCTTTTTCTACCTGTGCTTCTCACATCACTGTTGTCTCCATTGCCTACGGGAGCAACATCTTTGTGTATGTGAGACCCAATCAGAACTCCCCACTGGATTATGACAAGGTTGCTGCTGTTCTCATCACAGTGGCGACCCCTCTTCTGAATCCTTTTATCTACAGCTTGAGGAATGAGAAGGTAAAGGAAGTGTTGAGAGAGACAGTGAACAGAATCATGACCTTGATACTAAGGAAAACTTGACACTGCTATATACTATATATGTCATATAGATTTTTTTAAATTATTTATTTTGTTAAGTTCCAGGGTACATGTGAAGGACATGCAGGTTTGTTACATGGGTAAACGTGTGCCATGGTGGTTTCCTGCATCTATCAATCCATCACCTAGATACTAAGCCCACCAAGCTGGAAAATATTCTTCAGGATATTATTCAGGAAAACTTTCTTAACCTAGTAACACAGGACAATACTCAACTCCAGGTAATACAGAGAACATCACAAAGATGCTCCTCAAGTAGAACAACCCCAAGACACATAATCATTAGATTCACCAGTGTTGAAATAAAGGAGAAAATTCTAAGGGCAGCTAGAGAGAAAGGTCAGGTTACCCATAAAGGGAAAACTATCAGACTCACAGCAGATCTCTCAGCTGAAACCCTACAAACTAGAGGAGAATGAGGGTCAATATTCAATATCCTCAAAGAAAAGAATTTTCAACCCAGAATCTCATATCCAGCCAAACTAAGCTTCATAAATGAAGGAAAAATACAATTTTTCATGAACAAGCAAGCACTCAGAGATTTCATCACCACCAGGCCTGCTTTACAAGAGCTTCTGAAAGAAGCACTATACACAGAAAGGAACAACCAGTATCAGTCATCCCAAAAACTTACCAAAAGGTAAAGAGTATCTCCATAATGAAGAATCTATATCAATTAATGGGCAAAATAGCCAGCTAGCATTAAATGACAACATTAAACTCACAAATATCAATATTAATCCTGAATTTAAATGGATTAAACGCTCCAATCAAAGACACAGACACGCAAACTGAATAAAAAGTCAAAACCCATTGGTATGCTGTATCCAGATCCATCTCATAAGCAAAGACACACAAAGACTCAAAACAAAAGGTTGAAGGAAGACTCACCAATCAAATGGAGAGAGGAAAAAAAAAAACAGGAGTTGTAACTTTTGTCTCTGACAAAATAGACTTTAATAGTAACAAAGACTAAAAGAAACAAAGAAGGACATTACGTAATGATAAAAGGATCAATGCAACAATAGGAGTCAATGATCATAAATATATATGCACCCAATATAGGAGCACTCAGATACATAAGACAAGTTTTCAATGACATAAAGAGGCTTGGACTGCCGCACAATAATAGCGGGAGACTTTGACACCACATTGTTAGTATTCGATGGATCAACGAGATAGAAAATTAACAGGGACATTGATGATTTGAACTCAGACCTGGAACAAGTAAACTCAGTGAATATTTATAGAATTCTTCAACCTAGTTCCACAGAACATACTTTTTTTTAGTATCACATTTCTTCAGCATTTGCATAGCATTTCACGGATTTAAATGAAATATTGGTTGGTTGACTGTTATTTTCTTTCTTTATTCCTTCCTGTCTCTGCTGTTAAGCACAATTATTGACATAAAAGAGGTTTTTAATACCTACTTTTAGATTGTATTCCAGCCTGGGCAATAGAGTAAGACTCCTGTTCTCTCTCCCCCTTTTCTCTTTCTCTTTCTCTCTTTAAAAAAAAAAAAATCAGTATATTCACAGAGTTATACAATCATCATCACAACCAATTTTAGAACATTTCATTACCCCAAAAAAAAATCCTGTACTGGCTGGGTGCAGTGGCTCACTCCTTTAATCTCAGCATTTTGGGAGGCCGAAATGGGCAGCTTACAAGGTCAGGAGTTCGAGATCATCCTGGCCAACATGGTAAACCTCATCTCTATTAAAAATACAAAAATTAGCCAGACTTCGTGGTGGGCACCCATAGTCCTGACTACTCAGGAGGCTGAGGCAGGAGAATTGCTGGAACCTGGGAGGTGAGGTTGCAGTGAGCTGAGATCTGGTGATTGTACTCCAGCCTCGGTGACAGAGCAAGACTGCATCTCAAAAAAAAAAAAAAAAAAAAAAAAAAATCCTATACCCTATCCAGTCCCAAAGCAAACTACAAATCTACATTTAAAAAAAAAAAAAAAAAAAAGAGTACAAAAGTTTGAGAACCAGGGCTTAGGGAGAACCAGGCAAGCCACTGGTTACCATGAAATCTATATCATTGCTAAGCCTCAGGAAGAGCCTTAAATGTTGCTAAGAAAAAGAATATGTCATAAAATATACTTGATATTTGATTTTTAAAGATTATATAGCATACAGCAGTGGTCCCCAATCTTTTTGGCACCAGGGACCAGTTTCACTGAAGACAATTTTTCCACAGCCAGGTGGAGGCAGAGGTTGATTCTGGAATAATTCAAGCACATTACTTTTAATGTGTACTTTATTTCTATTATAATTTCATTGTAATATACAATGAAATAATTATACAATTCACTATAATGTAGAATGAGTGGGAGCCCTGAGCTTGTTTTCCTGCAAGTAGGTGGTCCCATCTGAAAGTGATAGGAGACTGTGATGGATCATCAGGCATTAGATTCTCATAAGGAGCATGCAAACTAGATGCTTCACAGATACAGTTCACAATAAGGTTTGTGCTCCTAAGAATCTAATGTCACTAATGATCTAACAGGAGACAGAACTCAGGTAGTAATGCTACTGATGGGAAGTGGCTGTAAATAGAGATGAAGCTTCACCCGCTCGCCCACCGCTCACCTCCATGGCCTGTTAGGAACTGTGTGGCCAAGTTCCTAACAGGCCATGGACCTGACCGGTACCAGTCCATGACCTAGGGGTAGGGGTTAGGTACCTCTGGCATATAGTATTATTAATACGATTATAATAATTATAATTATAATTATTCCTATCATAGGCACTAATGTATATCTGTTCATTTACTGTTATCAAATCAGTGGATTAGTTCTAAAAACTGAGTTCCTTCTATCTCTAGAGAAGTATTTTGCTGGAGCACTTGAGATAGCTGCCAAAGTACCTTGTTTATTTATTTATTTATTTAATAAGCTTGGGCATTTGGCAATAAAATAAAGGCTTGCTAGACAACGAGTTCCCAACAGTTGTATTAAAGGCCAGATTTGTATTTTTTGGTTCTTTTCTATGTCACCTAAATCATTTGTGATTTAAATCTCTCTGACTCTTTCCAGCTCGGAGAAAAAAAAAATTTAACTGTAAGGTCTAGTTACCATTGTATTAGGGTCGTTTTCCTCAGAACTCATTAGTCAGTCAGGCATTTATTCATAGAAGATGTGCTGAATTATTATTCTGGTTATCTAATCTTTCTGTATCTCAGTTTCTTACTTATCTATAAAATGATAATTTCTATGGTGTGGGGCTAAAGTAGGATAAACCTAAAAGCACTTATATCAATTGTATAATATAGAAATGCTGAATGAATATTATTTAACTTTTTAAGGCCCTGTATAAAATTCAATGGAAGATGCTGATGATACAAAGATAAGCAAGACATTATTTCTATTTCTAAGTTATTCACACTTTAGTTTGAGAGAAAAGAATATACAAGAAAATTTTATAAATGATAAATTATAAAAATAAATGAGTTAATTCTTCTGATATTGGCCATGGTAGAGTAACAGACATTTGATTTTTCTCTTTTGACTTAGGCAACTAGAAAATGACAAAAATACATACAGCAAACCATTTCACACATTGTCTAATAAGCAATACAAGATTGTGATTATTGAGAGAAGGAAAACAAAAGAAGGTGAGCCTTAAAACTGCCCCAGTATGCAACCCAGATGCAGTCTCCAGCCTGCAGCCTAGGGGGAGTATTCAAACAGAGTCTGGATGTTTCTCTGAATTAAGAAAATAGAGATCACTCTGGGGAGGCCAGGGCAACTTGAATTTATAGCGAAGATGACCAGAAATGAAAGAGTTGCATAGAAAGAGAACTCTGGAGATAAGCAGAAGGACTCCCTGAAGGCTTTGGCTGAATATAAAGCTAGGCAGTCATGAAAAGAAATTACCTAAAGATGTGAAAGGATCCACGAGAAATCAACAGGCCAAATAATTCCTGGTTTCACATAGGGATGGAAATACTTAGTATTCCTTTCAGCCAAAGTAAAAAGACCTTTTAATATTTTGAGTATTAGGTAGAGTAAGGGAGATAAATTATATCTAGTACAAAGACAGAGATCTAGCTTTTTCATAGAAGACTTTCAAAACAGGACAGAAAAGATCAAAGCAGTCCACAAGTAGTTGCTAGGAGAACAAAGTCTAACAGAACTTGAAAGCATAAAACCAAATCTATAACTTAATAATATCACAGTATCTAGCATCCAAACAAAAATTTCTGAGCATACAAAGAAGCAGGATATTATAATACATAACAAGAAGGAAAAAATCATCAAAAGAAGCAAATCTGGAAATAATGGGAATTCATAGGAAAAGAATATTTAAATAGCTCTGTGCCCAAGAATTTAGACTATAAAGTGATTTAACAATTAAATTATCAAAATTATTAATATTTAAAGTGATTTAAAGCATTTCTTATATAAAACTCTCAAATGGTAGATATAATCATTAGTATCATCATTATAACCATTTTATTTGCCCTACACACTTTTATAGCTTTAGATGTCTTATAGTATTTTATTTTTTGCTAGTATCCATTATGCTTACAGAGTTGGCCATGATAATTCCATATCCTTAAGTTATTAGATGAAGAGCTTTGTAGGAAATGTTATTTGCCTCCATACAATGCACATGATCTATTTTTAAAGTGTCCATAAAAGAAAATTTTCATTCATTCTTCTATTCTTTGCCTTGCAGGCAGGATAACAGGTAGGAGATATGACCAAAGTTCTTCTTGGCCACACCAATCTGTGCAGAAGGCCAAAATAAAATTTCAAATGTCACTGGCCCTTGTTCACCTCACCTAGGTGCATACCATAGGCTCTTGCTTTTCTGTGCAATTACTACCAAGTGTTTCTTGGAATCCTCAAGAAATGTTTCTCATGTACTTAGGAACTCTCAATATTATCTGGCTCTGGGCTACCCTTCATTAATTTACACTCTTTGAAGCCACCTAAGGGCAGAGCTTCCTCACTATTCCTGAAGTCTATTCCCCCTATAAGAAACTGATGTCAGTGACAAGGGAGCTGTCTTTCATTTATCCCAAAACAGCAAACCACTGAGATGGTAGGTATGCCACTATATCTGCTGTTATTCCTGCTATAGACAGAGACACTACGCTGTATTCAAAGCAGAATTAGGAGAATCTCCATTATCCCTACTTATCTACTTAGGCACATATATAAGGTGGCTTAAACACTATTTTTCAGTGAGTCCTTCATTTTCTTCATACACTTATTTATAATTTTAGAAATGAATCCCTGTCTTGGTTAGACAATCAATATCTGAAACAGATTCCAGATGATCCTCCCCACCTTGGTGCTTTCCACAGATGCTCATCGTTTCTAGCCCAAATTCTCACATAAAATAAGTTTAGATTCCTTTGTCTACCAGTGTGTCACATATTTTTCCCCTCTATCC